TTGAGTGGTCCATCATTAAATTATTTTAAGTGTCTGGGGACACTGTGGGCTATAGTTTGCTCCTCGATGAGTTTCCTGTGTTCCCTTACATGTGCTGTGAGTGTTCTAATCATCCTACCCATTGTTACCATACAGAGTTTATGTCACAAAGTATAGGTAATATGTATATAGTTTTAGTTTTCGTTTTAACTATTTCACCTGAGGTGTGGATAACTAGTTGGGAAATACAGTCTTTGTTGTGCTTATCACGGTGGAGGGGAGTGCCAGGCCCAATGAATTGCAAATAGGGTTATTGTCCAGTTCCGGATGAGATAGGAGGAAGGTATTTAGTCTCCTTTAGTGATATTTTGATGTATGCTTAGATCTCTTCTTTAGGTTTGTAGTTAAATAGATTGTTGGTTCATTGTATTCAAGTCTGTATACTATATACCAATAAATTCTGTTATTGTGTTGAGCTTGAAAATCTCAGGAGTGAATCCTTAGAATCTTATACCTGTAAGTGTGAATGCTTATATAGCAGATCATAACTTGAAATAGTACTTCAGGTAACACCATGTAGATTAGACCACACAGGCAGCATAAGCTGAACATATAATAAACTCACTAACAACATATTACTTCCCTTTGGATTCACAAAACCTTTTCTGGCCATGAGAAATAAACTGACAAGTGAGGCACCTTCTCTTTAACATTGACATATTCCCTTTCCTTCTGAAAAGGTAATAGAATTAACATTTTTAATAGACTTCGCTTCTGATGTTTATTTACTGGGGGTTACCAAGTTTTGGACATACTCGGATGACCAACTTTTAAAAACTGTTTCAGACTCTATAGTTTGTAAGTAAAAAAGAGTCAGGGCCTCACTGAAATCACACTGACTCTTTGTTACAACCCATAGACCATAGACTTTCAAATAGTCTCCAAAAATAGTTTAATGGCAACACCCCATATTATCACTAAAAGCCATGAAGAATGGGGAGTCCAAATTCCCTAAAACATGTTGGCTACATACCTGTTATTAGTTACATAGTATTTGAGGTTGAATCAAGACATAAGTCCATCAAGTCCAACCTATTGCGTGTGTGCATTTATGTTTGAGCAGGTGTGTGCGTGTGTATTAGTCCATGTGTGATTTTTCTCTTAGGAGTACCTGTACCCCTGTATATTATGGTCTCCAAGGAATTCGTCCAGTAGTTTCTTGAATGCTTCCACACTCTTAGCTGAAATCACTTCCTGCGGCTGCGAGTTCCAGACCTTAACCGCTCTAACTGTGAAGAACCCCTTGTGCCCTGTGTGTTGACATTTTTTTCCCACCAATTTGTGGTGATGCCCTCTGGTCTTTGTAAACAGTTTGTTAACAATGTTGCTGTCACCATTGAACAGTTTATACAGAAAAATAATGTCCCCCCTTAATCTCCCAAACGAGAACATATTTAATTTTAACAACCTTGTTTCATAGTTCAGGTCCTCAAACCCCTTAATGAGTTTGGTTGCCCTCCTCTGGACTTTTTCCAGCTCAAGGACATCTTTTCTGAGTATCGGTGACCAAAAAAGATACCCTTTTGAAAAAGTCAAAGATTGACGAAACGCGTCAAGGGGACCCGCTGCTTCCTTCCTGACATACCGGATAAACCTTCAAAGGCTGGGCGCCGTTTACACCCACATGCGATTTTTACTCAAACCATTTCGTAAGTGTAATCATTTATATTTGGAATAAAGGACTTTCGTGACTACACTTAGATCTGCTTTCTCTCTTGTGTCCTTTTTCCTGTCTTCCTCGCTCGGCTGGGCTGCTCCTGGAGGACGTTTGACACCGCCATCAGAACCGTGTGCTGACCGTTTGGAGGAGAGAGAGAAATATAAAGAATTTTTGAGGACTTATGGATTGAAGACAAAGTAATAGACACTTTTTTCTTTGTTATTTTTGGGTTCCCTTTCTTTTGGTTTTCATTCATTTTTCTCCTCTGAGTGAAAGAGTTAAATGCCTTGGTGATTGAAAGAATCTTTTGCGTAACCCTAATCCACGCCTTACATGGAGACACTGCTTTCCTTTTTGCTTTTTTCATTTTTTTCGTTTTGGGGCGATGATAAATTGGTTTTATGTGAGCTATTTTTTGTATATTTTTTGAATAGCTGTGTAATTATAATCAACCAATCAAATGATGAGATCAACCTTTTGAATCTGAATGTATATGTAATCCATATAGACGTGGGATTGAGCGTTTAATCACAGAATACTGTTTTATTATCACATTTTTACCAACGAAATACTGAACAGAACAAAGACACAGTTTACTAATTATAATAATTTATTTATTATACATATTTTACACTAATTTATGAATCTTTATTCATTCATTTATTCATTTTATCCATCAATTTTTTATTTTTCACTTGAATATAAATAGCAAGATGACACAGTAAGAACATTGCTCACTACCAAGCGCAACATAATTGCTCACATTGGTGACCAAAACTGGACTGCATACTCCAGATGTGGCCGAACCAGTGATCTGTAAAGTGGCAAAATTATAGACTTGTCCCTGCAATACATTTCCTTCTTAATGCAAGACAGGACTCTGCTTGCTTTGTTTACAGCAGCCTGGCACTGCGAGCTGTTCTTTAGTCTGCAGTCTATGATGACCCCCAAATCCTTCTCCGTTTCCGACTTCTCTAGTGGCACACCCAGAAGTGTGTAGTCCATTTGCCTATTTTTAACTCCAAAGTGCATTACCTTGCATTTATCGACATTAAACTTCATCTGCCATACAGTTGCCCACTCCCCGAGTTTATCCAGGTCCTCCTGTAATGTTATAACATCTAAATCCGTGTCTATTACCCTCCCAATTTTCATATCATCAGCAAACATTGAGACACGGCTACTCACTCCCTCCCCGATATCATTAATAAATAGGTTAAAAAGCATGGGACCCAGCACAGAACCCTGGGGTACACCACTCATGACTTCAACCCAATCTGAAAAGGTGCCGATTAGCGATACTCTTTGTACACGATCCTTTAGCCAGTTTTTTATCCACGTGCACACTAATTCATCTATGCCCATAGACCTTAGCTTGTATAACAAGCGTTTATGTGGCACCGTATCCGCTTTGGAGAAATCCAGATATACTACGTCTACTGGCCTCCCTCCATCCAGATCTCTACTTACCTCTTCGTAAAAGGTCAGCAGGTTGGTCTGACAAGAACGATCCTTCCTAAATCCATGCTGATTATCAGTTATTATGCCATGATCCTGGGCGAATTCCACTAAGTAGTCCTTAATAATTCCCTCTAACAGTTTACATACTATGCATGTCAGACTAACTGGTCTATAGTTCCCTGGTTGGCATTTTGACCCTTTTTGAATATAGGTACCACATTTGCCCTTCGCCAGTCGCTTGGCACTCTACCAGCCATTACCGATTCCTTAAAAATTAGAAACAATGGTTTTGTTATCTCCATGTTCAGCTCCTTGAGTACCTTGGGATGTAGGTTATCAGGTCCTAATGCTTTATTTGCATGTAGTAGTTTAAGCCTATGTTGTATCACAGTTTCAGTCAACCACTCAGGTGTATTTCCTGTCAAATTTTGTGTTTTATCATGTACATTAAACCCGTCTGTTTCCTTGGTGAATACCGACGAGAAAAAAGTATTTAGGGCCTCGGCCCTCTCCTTGTCGTTTGTGAGTAAAGACCTATTTATGTCCTTTATTGGGCCTATCTGGTCCTTTCTCCCCTTTTTACTGTTTATGTACTGATAAAAAAAATGTGGGTTCCGTTTACTAACTGTGGCGATATATATTCCTCACCTTCAATTTTAGCTGCCCGGATTACTAGTTTACATCTTTTATTACATTCTTTGTAGTTTTGGAATGCCAATACTGACCCCTCTGTTTTATACTTAGTAAATGCCACTTTCTTTTCCTTAATGTGTTGTTTTGCCGTTTTATTTAGCCATATTGGCTTTGTTTTCGATCTTTTATTTTTGTTACCCAGTGGTATACACCTTGTAAAGGCATTTTTTAATATGTTCTTGAAACAGTCCCACTTTTGGTCAAAGTTTAGTTTATGAAATAAGTTTTCCCATTTGATTTCACCCACTATATTGCATAGTTTATCAAAGTTTGCCTTCCTGAAGTTTAGGCTTATCGTCCGCCCATCACCCTTCCTTTTCTTGCACCCAATATTAAAAGCAATCACCTTGTGATCACTATTACCCAGTGTTTCCCAGATTACAATATCCTCAATTAACTCTGTATTATTGCTGATGATCAGATCTAGGATGACATTTTCCCTAGTTGGGACCTCAACCATCTGATTCAATTGTCTCACAACATATTAAGAAAACGGGCCGCCTTTGCCGATTTGGAAGTTCCGTTAGCCCAGTTGATGCATGGGTAATTGAATGACTATGTGGACTGGAGTGAGCCCACTATCTAATCCATTATTTTTTTCTTCTGTGTTATCTGTCATGATTGGTTCTTTAATATTTAATATTTAGTTACAATTAAAGTCTGTAAACAAATCTCGTCTGTGTATGGCTCTTCACTTGGAGTGCTCTTCATCGAACACAATAAGAATGTTTATGCCAGTGTGTGATCCATTTATAGTGCAAAGTTGACAGTTTATTTTAGGTTCTCACTGTGCTGGCAAAGATACAGCCTTTTCATATGAATATTTAAATAGTGGCAACAATTTAACTGAGAAGGACATTTGACCTGTGTAATGTTGCATACTAATCAAAGTGCCTCCTTCTTATCTCTCACATATATTACACTCTCACTGTGCTGGCAAAGATATAGCCTTTGATATGAATATTTAAATAGTGGCAACAATTTAACTGAGAAGGACATTTGACCTGTGTAATGTTGCATACTAATCAAAGTGCCTCCTTCTTATCTCTCACATATATTGCAAAGGATTATATTTCACTTTTAGTAACAGAGCATATTTTACTTTATAGAATCAATCTACCTTAACTTTTCTAGTGACAAGATCAGCATGGAGACCCCATACACATCATCTGAAACCTACATAGATGAGTTTGACCCTTTAGATTATTACAAAACATACTATCACCCCAAAGAAGGAACATTAACTGGAGAATGGCTTAATTTTGCATTGCAGAATTTTCATGAAACATTCAATTCAGGTAAACAAATTACTGATTTATTGGCCTTATTTCTGCATGGAACATGCAATAGTGTTGTTTTTTCCAATTCATAGAAAATAGATGTTACCTGTATTATTTGCTATAATTATCCCTACAAGCATTAATCTCAGTGTATAGTGTATGTACATTGTTCCTATAGCTACATAAAGATATTAGCAGTTATGAGAAACTTGATTTTCCTGAACTACATTATGTGGGGAACAGTCTGATGTGTTATAAGCAGCATTTCACCAAGCATCTCCACAATACCTTAGTTGCATTCTATTACACTATGTCCTCCCACCATTAAGAGCCATTAACTAAAAGGGATAAGGGCATTGGCCATTTCCCATATTTAAAAACATAGGCTCTCCCACAGGGGTGGAACTACAAATCATGTTGTCCATAACAAAATTATTATGCCCCCCTCCCCTCCTCCCCACAACATCTCTCTGTGGCATCTGGAAATACTATTAGTGATCCTAAAGCCCAACTCTGGATTTTTTTAAATGGTGCTCTAGCACCAAAAATCCAAATAACAGTTTTGGCAGTAATACTCATCTTCAATCTGGAGTTATCCTCTGCAGTAATTTTTTTTGTCATAGTTACATAGTATTTGAGGTTGAATAAAGACATTAGTCCATCAAGTCCAACCTATTAGGATCTCATTCTAGGAGTACCCGTACCCCTGTATATTACGGTCCCTTAAGAGATCGTCCAAAAGTTTCTTGAACAATTCCACATTATTTGCTGAAATCACCGCCTGTGGCAGTGAGTTCCAGACCCTAACTGATCTTACTGTGAAGAACCCCCTTCGCCCCTTGTGCTGGAATTTTTTTTCCACCAATTTTAGGTGATGGCCTCTAGTTTTTGTAACGGAGTTAATTTTAAACAGTTTATCGCTAATGTTGCTACCACCATTAAACATTTTGTACATGGAAATCATATCCCCCCTTAATCTCCTCACCTCTAATGTGAACATGTTTAAATTTAGTAGCCTCGTCTCGTAGCTCTGGTCCTCCATACCCCTAATTAGTTTGGTTGCCCTTCGCTGGACTTTTTCCAACTCAAGGACATCTTTTCTTAGTACTGGTGACCAGAACTGGACCGCGTACTCCAGATGAGGTCGAACCAATGATCTATAA